CATTGGCCCCTTTAAGTCCCAACAGTCCTGAAGAAGCAGAGTTTAAAGTCTGGGAATTCTTTTAAAATTAGTATTCTGTGTTTACTTTTTTTTCACTCTTGGCTCTTAAGATCAGTATATTACTAGACTAAGAAACACTGGAGAAGAGATTTCATAATATCACGATAAATTACCCTGATAACCCATAAGTTGCCACACTGAAGAGAAAGGTTTTGATCTGAATTGGGAAAGCAGAGAGCTTTTTGTTTCTTCTGAGAAGCAGCACTGTTCCAGCCCTCTAGCCTGCATTCTGTTTATGACAGACTACCCTCTTTTGTTTTAGACTTGTTCCCCTCTTCCGTGGTTATCTGTTGGATGAATATAATTCTGAGTATTTGCCAGGTCATCTGAGGACAAGGGGAAGCACCCTAGTGCCAAGGTTCTACTGAAGCCTGAGTCTATTGGTATTTACTGGTGTGATGTCCTTTGAGGCTAAGACATCACAAAATGATTAATTCCTCCCCAGAAACATCTCTGAGGTAAGGCTGAATGAAGGTCACACGGCCAATGGAGTTATTCTGACTTTTCTGATAATGTCCCCCACCTCTCATTTGTATAATATGAAGTGGCTTCAATGCTGGATTCAGAATTGGGGAAAATTGGGAGATAACTGTGACATGCTAAATCAAGGAACAGATATGTCTCCTTTCTATGAGATCCTCACTTAAAATCTCCATTTTGGGAGAGAGGCTGAAACCACCCTTCCTTTGGAGCCCACAGAATGCTAGACATCATGCAGCAACAAAACCTGCTAAAATGCCGTGATGCAGAGCAATTTGTTTCCTATTTGGGCCATCCGAAGAGCCACATCTAGTGAAAGGGTGGTTCTGGGACCAATATTACTTATCAGGCATTTTGAGGTTCACTGGCACAGTAATTGTCTTTCTCACAATAGCTCCTAGGGAGAGTTTATGGAAAGGCACCATTTCTTGATTTTATCATGACACTTTCAAAAGAGGAGAGATGCTTTTGAAATATTACCATTATCACCTAACAGCTTATGAATCAAAATTTTCCTTGAGTCTTGAGATAAAACTATGAAAACTGAATATTATATTCAACTAGAGTTTTAAAGCACAGAAGGAAAAAGTGAGCTAATAAATGTATATTTGCAGGGAACTGGCCAGGATGCCAGAATAAACTTTGACACTGGATACAAATTAAAAGGTCACTCCAGCAAAAAGCCAATATTATTTCCTAAAAGATAAATTCCTGGGAAGAAGAATTAGGATAAAGCTGATCTCTTGTTCAGAAATCTTGGGTGGCAAGGTTTACACATGACATAGTTTCTCTATCTCTGTTGCTGCTCTCTTATGAGAAGCGAGTCAGGCAAGTGAAACAGCAAATGGAGAGAAACAGAACACCAGTTAACACAGCAACCAGTCTCAAGTCAGGGGAGGTTGCCTGTTGGGGGTTAAGCTTCTATTAAACACTGAAGAACTAAAATTCATCTCCAACATAGAAAATACAGAGAATCTAGATTTGTGGTTAGCATATATAAAGGTAGTCAGAACTTTTGTCAGTATGTCTGAGTTGACATAGAAATTTCCTTTCCCACTTTAAATTTTGGACAAGCTATCCCAACAGCAACTACACACACACACACACATCCCCAGTGCCCCAGTGCTGAAAATAAAGATGGACTCAAAATCAGAGTAGTGAGGGGGAGCCAAGGCCAAGTGGCTCCTGGGGAGAAGTGGACCTGAGACAGGCCTGAGGGGCTGGTGGCCGGACCTTTAACATTAGCTGTGGGACCTGTGCACAGAGAAGCAGGAACAAAGCTACCTACAAAGAGTAAGACTTTATGTAGAGCTTGTCCATACCCAAAGTGGGAACTAGATACATCATGACCACCCCCCCAGGGAGTGACATGGTGTCAATTTTCTGCTTGGGACCAGAGGAGGACAAGTTCAAGCGCAGAACCCAGGTGCTGGGTATGAGTGCTGAGTCAGCACCCACTCCAAGCTCACAGCATGGGTCCCAAGTCTCCAAGTTAATATACAAACTAGTTGCAGGCCAGTAACATGCATAGGTCCCTGACCAGAGGCAAACATAAAAGCTCTCTGTGGAGATGTTCTTACTACCAGGTCATAGTTCATAAAGAAAAGCAGAATTCACAAAAATTTCCACAAAACTACAGACACTACAGGCAAAATGTAAAGGCAAATGACCAATGAAAGAAAACATCTGCAACTCACATAACTGACAAAAAGAAATAGTATCCAGTGGGGGAGAGTGTAGCTCAGTGATAGAGTGAGTGCTTAGCATATAAGAAGTCCTGGGTTCAATCCGCAGTCCTTTAAATACATGCATACTTACATACCTAATTACCTTCTCCCCGCCAAAATGAATAAAATTTTAAAAATAAAATGAAATAAACTTCCTTCCTGATCAACAACAAAAAAAGAGCTTATGAAGAACATCTAGAGATTAAATAAAGAAGGCATAGACAAATGGACACAGGAAGCATGAATAAGCAATTCAGAGATGAATAAAACTGTCCAATAAATATGAGATTTTCAATCTCACAAGTGACCAGGAGAATCTAATTTAAAACACTGAGAGACTGTTCTCATTTATTAGATGGGCAAAAGTCAAATAGAATAGTTTTAATATCTTTTAAAGTCAAAAAAATCCTATAAAGTTGGAAACATGCAAATCCTACAACTGAGTGGTTCCCATCCCAGGCACACCCTAGAGAACGCTGTGCACTCATGCCCCAGTCGATAGTACAAGGTGGCTGCTGCAGCACAGTTTCAAGAACAAAACTTAAGAAACTTAAATGTCAACCACTAAAGATGGGATAAACGGTAGCCTAGTTCCACAGTGGAACACTATGTAGACATTAAAAGGAGTAAACTAGGTCTCTGTGCATGAACATGGCTATGTCTCAAAAAGTAAGGCTAAATGAAGAACTAGATGCTACAGAATGATACCGTGTGATAATATTCATGAAAAAAGTAAAAGAAATAAAATATGTATTTAAATATGTTAAAAAAGCAATAGATGGCCTGAAAGATAGTAATAAAATTTATGCTTGAGATTGCCTTTGGGGCGGTAAGAAGGGAAATTGTACTGAGAAAGTCCTTCAAAGACGACTTCAACTTTATCTATAAAATAAAATGAATCTGAAACAGAATGTAAAATGTTAAGTTTCAATGCTAGGTGATGAGTACTGATGTGGTTATTATCAATCCCTGTACTTAAATTTTTTTTCTAAATGTAAGAATTATTTTTTAAAAGAGAATAAATAAAGTAAAACATATGCCTTGGTTCTATACAACTGCAGGAGGTTGACCATGAATTTGGCTTAGAGCTTTATTATTCCTTCTATTACTGTTTGTTTTGTTGTTATTGTTTTGGTATCAGGTCAAGCCAAATGTCAACAGCTTATCTGCAAGTCATCAAGGTCTCTCATCTTTCAAGATGCCTTTCTCCCATTTCCAGAAATCTTACAGATTGCAGAGAAAACAGCTAGCAATGTCTCTCCATCCTTTCCTGTATAACCATGCCAATTCTCCAACTCAAATTAAACAATTAAATGAACTTACTTCAGTTCTCAATACTTGAAACGTATGCATATTTTCGCTGTCTTCGTAAATTCCCAGAAAGCAGAACTGTATCTAAATCTCTTCAGATGGCACTTTAAATACCACACGCATACAAGCGCTTAAAAATACATTGCTTTGTTTTTCATGGTCATACTAATTAGAAGAGAGGAAGTACTATGAAAGGGGCCCAGGTAGATGACAAAACCCTAAATACATGTTTTCCACTTCACAACAGAAAATAATTGGCAAATTTTCCCATAGAG